GCCCTGAAATGACATCCAAGAGTGATGAGTGGCAAAAAAAGCATAAATTTTTAGCTGACCCGTTCACCGTCGCACATGGCAAGGGCCAGAATTCCCGAAGAGGAGGTGAGTGTAAGGCTAATCTCTGAGATACGTAACTTCACTACAGTGCGGTTCCCCAGGTACTTACAAGCATGGATTCACTGTCGTTCTGTTCTCTTCCACCAAATGTTCTGTGTATATGAATGCATCCACTGCTCACTTCTATGTAAGGCAAATGTATAGTCGAACTAAGTTATGACTTGCATATATCCAGAAATGTTTACATGGTATCAGTAATAATAAATCATAGCGTAATTCCCCAATGTTCTCCTTACGTAAAGCATGCAAGACAACTCACAATGATAGAGTCAAACATGTATTTCCTCCTCAACTTTTCCACGCTTACGTCACATCATTACACACATGATTTCGGCTCTTTCACGATATTTGAGTGATTTCAGGTAAAATAGTACAGCAGCTTCACGCTCCTTTGCGAGTCCAAACTTATTGACTTCGAATGGGTAACATTCTATTTCTGATTACGGATATATGCATTTTGTCACTTCAAATCGCTACATCCGCAATGAATGGCTGGATTCTCTTCACTCGCTTCAAGTACGTTGTGACCTTTTTTGACCTATGAACGCAATGCTTAACACACTAAAAGCAGCGTGGACTGACGCCAACGCACACTGTCTAAATTCGTTCCCTTCTGGGTCGCACGTTTGCAGTGTTCCTGTAAGGCGGCGTTCAGACCTCGCGATGACGCGCGTTGATGCCATTGCAATGGCGCGTTGAAGCTACAGACGGGACTCCAACGGGAGATCGCGATGGGCTCGCCGACCACTAGTGCTTTAAGATAGTGTGGGACAATGTGAAGGTAGACGCTGCCTAATCACAAAGTCTGCTAGCTAATGGCGTCCGATGCTCTGAGAGAGTAATGTATGGAGCAGGGTAGCAGAGTATGATTATCCTCCTCCTGCACACTCTCAAAACACAAGAGACTAACGCCTTCCGATATTCGTCTTTGGGCGCTTTCGACTATAGCATTGGAGCAATGATATCGAAGCGCTGAGGTTCTGTTGGAGGCGGTTGTCCAAAACATGCGAGTCACTTCAACCATCGTCCAGTACTTCATTGCAGTCCGGTAAAATTTCACAAGAAACTCATGCAACAAGACTCTTCCATTTGGCTCTCATCCACCCGCAGGGATCGTGTCAATTCGTGAGGATGTAACCCCAATCACTGCTTCCGTCCAGTATTGACCATGTAATCTTATTCATTCTTTTTGTTCAGTACTGATGATAAAATCTTTCTAATCTCATCACGCCCCAACCCCCTCCAACCCAGATCGCCTGCCAATCATGGGTATAAGTACCTGGCCTTCTCCAGAACCTTGCTCTTGGTTTGGCTCTTAACTCCCGGCTCTTCACTCTTATTGCTGGTGCTCGAGGTCCATCGATTCACTATTTGGTTCTGAGATTCTCCTCATTCTTCGTTGTGCTGTAGCTAAACTATATTCAGGGTGGGCCCTATTCCTTCTATTCTTTTACCTCAGTTATCTACTGTTACCTCGATCCCCCCCCCCAAAGAAGCTCAAGTTGTGACTCTTAATGTGCAGTTGATTCTATGGCAATTCTGCCTTTCTGATTCTGTTGCCTTAATTGAATAAACCCATCTCTCTCCTCACAGCTCTCTTGGTAACGTCCTTCGTCTAAGGCATAGTTTCCTATGTGGATTTCCGGTACATCTGGTCGAAGCCACTGCTGGGGAAGAAGACGCAATGCGTGAGCAACTAGGATCATCAACAATTTTTTCATGTGAGAAACGAAGAAAGACCGTTCCTTCCAGGGTCAAGTATTCGTTGAGGAGTCCTCAATGGGGGTTCGTTAGGCAGAAAACAAAAAAAATAATCAACTGTGAAAAAAAAACAAAACTGTGACAGGATGTGTGTAATGTGGCTCGAAATGGAACTAATGAAGTGGTAGTACGGATAATACATTTTGGTTGGAGGAAGTTGTTATACTGCACACATTCCCGGTGGAACTGATACGGGTCTGTTGAAATGGTTCTTTGAGGTGTGAAAATTGAGTTAGAAAATGCTGAGTGGCGAATGAAATGGAAATGGAATGGCGTTGGCGTAACGCACCGCGTGTTTTAATTCGGGGGTAGCTCTCACTACGCGTCAACTCATTTTACAGTTTGGAAAGGGACCGCTGCTCTAGAAAACATTTCCATTAGGCGTCGCTGCAGGCAATAGGTAGACAATTACCGTACTTTACAGTGAAAAATTGCCAGCTGTTTGAATTTCAGCGAGTATTTTACGCTTAGTGTATTTGAGGTTACAGCAAGAATTTTCAATGCGACACCGAACCTAAACAGCCACGTTTGACAGAATGGATTCCGAAAACTCAGTCATCTGTGAGAACTCTTTTCTTAAAGATTCAAATGGGTGTGTGAAAGAGTGGCATAGTGAAGAATATGTTACGAAGTTAATCTCCTCCCTAAAAGGTGATCGTGCCACGAAGACTTCGCCTCGCCACCGGGGTTTGAATCCTCACGGTAAAACTCAATGCTAAGTTGGACTCCTTCGGAAGATTTTAACGTCGTTGGAAAACAGGAATCTTCTTCTTCTGACCACTGCTTATTTTTGCCAACGATCGTCAGTTGACGAAGTTGTAGCCACAGAAAGGTTTTGAACAACTTCGTCAGTATTGCGACGGATTCTTCTTTATTATTTTGAACGAAGCACCGCTGAAGCTTTCGTTGTGGCCGCGACGGATCTAGTCTTCTAGCCGCCGGAGGCCTTTTGAGGGGGCTTTGCGCTGCTTCGACCGCTTCAGTACCTGTTCCTGTCAGGAGCCTCCAAAGTGACCACGCTAGTTTTGACTGGTACAACGCGTGTGCGCGTAGTGTCTGGTAGAAGATAGCGCGCTACCAACCGCTGACGTGAAGTCTCACGCCAAAACAACGTTTAAGCTATTTTCAGCACTGTCAAACTCTTCATGTTCAGAACAAGGAGATTATAGGAGAAAACACCATCCACTTCGCACTGACTACTTTTCTTGCATGTTACTGATTTCAAATCATGCTCCTAACAACGTGAGCATTCCGTTCGCGTAAATTTTGTCTTCAGATAGCGTAAAACAACAAACAGTCTTTTTGGCGGACACTTCCTGGCGGACTGCTTTTATTTATACTTCTCTTTTTAGCCCTTCCGTACATAATTCTATTTAACGACGCATTGGAGTCCAACGTACATAGACCTCGATCCATATTTCATCATGCTTTCCAGTACACCTTTAACAATTCACTTAAAGATCTATTTAACTCTGTCTATATCTATAGCGTTTGAGCGATTACTGGTAAGAATAAAAGAGCGTGGTTCTCGTGCTCTTTTCGGAAATCAATTTTTTTAGGCTCTGTTCTTCCCTTTGACCTACCGAAAGCTGCCTTCGTCCAAATATGCAACAACTTCTCTGTTGATTGGTGTTTTGTTGGCTGCAACTGATCTCGTCTTGGAATTCCTCTGTTCGCCTTTTGAAAAATCACCTAATTGTGCGGCTATCGGGTGCTTCATCGGTACCAAATTCCGCTATCACTGGGGAATAAGCAATATGGTGAGTATTTGGATGCATCGCTTCACTGGAGCTCTGTTTAAAAAGTAGTTTATGGTTCAGATCATGGGCTTCTTTGTTATTATCTTAACAGCTCTGCTGATAGTCAAACTCCGGTTTCTTAAGAACGAATCGAAATCGAGGAGAATTCTGAATAACAAAGAATCACTCAGATTCCGGCAGGTATATCTAATTTTTACAACCCTCGGTCGCTTCATATTCTTCATAATCTTTCTGCTCTACACTGCGCTGTTTTATGACGCGGCTACATATGAATTCTCTGGAAACTCAATTTCTAGGATGTTTCTGAGATGTCCGTCTAACAATTACCCTGCCATCGCCGCTGAATGAGAAGACCACTCTGTGTTCCTCTCTTATTTTTCACTTTTGCACTTGCATATCCATAGGACTTCGGGTTCATTATGACCAGTCTCACTTAGGTGTGATTTCAGGCTAACCGCACGTCCACAGGCATTCTTCTAACCTCAATGGTCTTCGTCACAATTCCAAGTGTTTGTGTAGGCTTTGTTGAAATGCTCGGTTATTCATTTTTTAAGACAGTTGGTCCATTCTACATAGTTGGCTTGCTTTGCGCTGGTAAGCTGTTATCCCTAGAAGTACAATTTTCACGAGGAATTCTACACTTTGCTTTCAGGTGTTTGCAACAGTTTAGTATACGTCTTTCTCAATCGTGATATGAGAGATTCGACAGAAAATTGCGTTTTCCATATAGCACCCTCAGCAATGAGGGCTTCGCCAGTATCCTCAAGGATATTCTGTACAGCCAAATTTCGAGCCAAACAGAACCGTTGAATTGATCTTTGATGCATACGTTGCAACAAGGTGGTCATATACTGTCGATTAAGTTGCTAGTGGAACATTAGGGCAATTTCAATTAGAACATTAGGGCAATTTCAGTGCTTATTTTGCTTTCCAAACCTTACCTGTTATATTGTTCGCTGAAGGTAACTTTATAGGCAAATGACATCATAATTCGATGAGGCGTGTAGGATGAGTAGGTTCTGCGCGAATACTGTACCCTTGAGAAGGTGCTGCCAACGCCTTTTTGAAGCGTCGTTGTACCGCCCGATCGAGGGGTAGCATGCCCCCGAAGCACCCTGACGCTCAACGCTCACCGCAAGTGCCCGTTCACAAACGGTTGCAGCCACATCAATGCAGTACGCTTCTCACTCCATTTACGTTGAAGAAATGTTATGGAATGGCTGCATGCTACATGGATATGTGGATACATATATGCACTACTATCTTCCCCCGTAATAACT